GTGATCGTGTTAGACGACTAGAGAATACAAGCAAATTCACCCATAGTTTCTCTTTTGATTTCACCTAATGTAAGAATTATAACATACATTGTAAAAGGAAAGAAAAGGGTTAATAATACGGACTCCCATTTGGCTGTTTAAGGCAAGTTTTCTACCATGTTGGTAATTTGTATCCACCTGCGAGAGCTTGAATTTTATAGTGAAAGTTGAGAATAAAGTTGAGAATTTATCAAGGAGATACGAATCTAACAGATACCTTATCTATTAAGTTATGTTCGGATTGAGATATAAATCAACTTTATATAATTATATTTACACATATTTTTGGATTGAGATATAATCTAACTTTATATAATTACATTTACACTATATTTTAGTTACGCTTAATGCTCGTTTCATTTTCTTTAGTCATTGTCATGTCCGAGGAATTTGTGTCACATAAAAAAAACTATCAAACATCTTTAAGAGAAAACTATCAACATCTGGAATTTAATCATTTGGAACTAAGTTTAAATCTCGAAAATGTCATTAATTACAAGTTTTGTTTCTACCTTCAATTTTCAAAATGCTTTCAAACTTATTTTAAAAAATGACAGAGATCAAGTTAAAACTAAATTGGAAGAGCTATAGAGTGGGTTGCGAGACATAGTCTAGTGGTTCAAAATTAAACAATTACATAAATACATATCTAATGCATCCTAGTAATGGCCGTCGCCATCGTGATTGTCACATATTATAAAAAATAGAAAATGGTCTTAATAATCAATCAAGAAGATAACATTTCTTAGTCACCACCAAAGTTATTTCAACATATTATTCTTTCCTTTACCTCATTAAAAAGAGAGTGTAGAGCTTAGCCAATTTTTAAAAATGTTTTAAGCTTAAGAAACTAGGGGGTATAATGGGGAGGGCAGCTCCTTTGTCTTCCACTTTGGCTTTGGCCTTCAAAAATGGCCAAAACCCAAAAGCTGAATTTGATTATCTTTTTCAAAAGCAGCTCAAAAATTCAACAAAAAGGTCTGGTGGGTTTGGCTTATTATCAACAATTATTGGTTATTATTATTCAATCTAAAACACACAAAATTCTCTGAGGAGCTGGTTGGAAAGAGGTGTCTTTCTGAATCATTTTGTGGAAGATGACACACATTTATTTATGTCTAATGTGCTGAGATTTGTCTCTATATACATTCCACTGATGAATTTATATATACCATCAAGTTGGTCTTGTATTTTGAGAGAACAATACTATTCAATCTGTCATGTCGTACGTGTCTTGACATAGTATTGTTTCGTTAGGTTTTCACTAAGAAGATCGAAAGAGTGAGTCAGGGCCTAGGATCAGACCGAAAAGGCCACATTCTATTCATTTACATGCATGACTGTAGCTTTCTTTTTTTCTCCTTTCAAAAAATAAACATTTAATGATAGACATTAGCAACTTTTTATGCATCATATATATACACACACGAAAGGACCGATAAATTTTTACCTTTTTAACTTTTCATATATATAATTTACCAACCGGTTCTGAAAATTTAGGGAGGGAACAAATTAAAGAAGAAACTTTAAAATCTTTTTTAACTTTTTATAGCGGGCAATCGTCCTTCTCTTCTTCTCCTTCTCCCTCCGCCCTTGATTATAAGATCGAAATCAATGGTGGAGGAAAGGAATACATTCCTTTGGAACTCATTTAGTATTATATTTTTGAGAGAAGCAAGAATTGAATTGAAAATGAAGGGTGGTGGGCAAAAAGAAAGAAGGATTCTTTAATAGAATAAACAAAGTGGGAATTAGAGAAAAAGGAATGGATGGGAGAAGAATTAGAGAGCAGAATATAAGGCAAAGTGTTGCCAAAGTTGGAGACATCAACAGACACTTTGGGCTTCAAATCCACGCTTGCTCGACCCCACATCTCTTTTTCCCTCGATATTAAATATCGAATAATGTTTAGTACGTAACAATCTAACTTTTTCGGGTCGTTTATTTTTATGGYTGTAGATGCCTGAAATTTTAGATACTTGAATCTTTAGATAGCTGCATTTATTTGGTAGGAAAAATTATAAAGATGGTCGAAAATATTTATATAGCTATATTTGTTTTGCGTGATATATGAGAATGTTTTAAATTTATATAATGAATAGTCTTACCGTTTATACATTAATTTAATATAATTTACATTTAATATAATATATTTGTCTTTATTAATTTAATGTTTTTTTAGGTTATTTGGTAGAGAAAATTACTTCATGTTAATATAAGATTTTTTTTTTGTTGAATAATTATTTTTCGATATAAATTTTATTTTCGACTTAATATTTTTTTCAAAAGGACAATTATATAATATTAGGTGAAATTTATTTATCGTATTATCAGATTATATTTTTTTAAGAATAAAAATATCAAATGTATGTTGCTCGCTAAAAAATGTTGCTATATATTATAATAAACATTATTAATAACAATTCCTTAAAAATATTAAAAATAAGTGAAATATTATATAATTTAATTAATTTAGTAATATGTAAATGTAGTAGGTAAAGATGCATAAAGTTGTTTATTAGTTAATCAATACATTAATTTATTTTGATTATAAATTAAAAATAAAATAAAGAAAATTGNAAAAAAAAAAGAAAAAATGTAAAAAAGGATGTCCTTAACACAAGAATATGTTTCAAAACGGGATTCAAAACATGTTAGATATTTCCCGTATGGACGTCCTAAGATACTAGCATCCTGTATTTCTACAAAATAAATATGTGAGTCTAGATGCTCGTTCAAATGACCCCTTATACACTAAAAAAGACTAGCCCATTGTAGTATAAAATTTGTAACGAATCTTTCTTTGAAAAATCTTCTCACAATGATTAATTTCAGATTTAGTTTTTATAGTTTATATTCTTATATGTATTTATTATTATATGGTATGCTAATGGAATTAAATCATTATAAATAATTAATAAAACTACTAAGGTTAAATTGCTAAGTACTAAATTTTCACGAATTTTAAATAGTAAAAACAAAATTTTTTTACTTACTAAATTCAAGGATTAAATCGTGATTTCCAGGTTGTTAACTAAAAACATCACAGCCTTGCTAGTTTATTCAGTATTTGTGCACCCGCCAGGCCCTCTCAGGCTTTTAATTCAGTTTAAGCAAAATTAAGAAAAATTAAACGTTCTATTTCTAAGTTTTTATCTATATCTTAAAAAAAATACGAACCAAAAACTTGATTGTATTGTTTATGAAATTTCTATATACTGTTCTTAAAATGTTTAGTAAAAATAAAAAACGAGAAACAAGTAACAAGTAACAGTCAAAGTTAAATCTCTAGGTTTCTAAAACGTTGGAAACAAAAATTGAATGTTATCAAATTGGTAAAAAAATAACTTTTGATTTTAACTTTTCACCTGAAAAAAGATGGTAAAAGAAAGCCAAAAAAAAAATAAAAATAAAAGGGTTTTCTTATTAATCTCTTGATCATAACGACATGACTTGTAATTTTTAGTGTGTTCCTGAAAATTAAACACAGCGCAACAGAATACTAAAATTAGGGTTTTGCAGAAAAATTTCAGAGGTTCCATGAGAGGTGGATTTGAAAAGCATGCAGAGCTAAATTTAAATTAAAAGACTGTCACTCATTCATTATTAAATATTAATGGTTATAATAATGAGATTTAGGGCAAAAACAGGTGGTGGGTCGTCATTTTCTCATCCTCTTCTTCTACTTCCAGTCGGTGATTTCACTGAATTCCCCCATTAATTAGGGCTAACTTAATATATAATCTTGTTAATACAAAAATTATAATTAATTTCACTTTATGTTGCTTGATTTTTAATTAAGTTTCTGTGTTTACTCTCTTAATATTATAAGATTTTTTATCCGGTTGATGTGATGTAGTAGATAACTAAATAGATTAATAATAAGCATGTTATATATGTCTGAAACTAAATAGAAGTATAATCTAGGCGTTTAAAAATGTAACTAAAACTTCTAAAATTTTAGAAATGAAAAATAGATCACAAGTTCGTTCAAGAAGCTTCAAATGATATAGAAACCGTAGGGGTATATTTATTTAGGGTCTGTTTAGTAATGTTTCCTGTTTCACGTTTCTAATTTTCTACTAACTATGTTTTTTTTCTCATTTCTGAGAACATTCTATTGTATAAAAATTTTAGAAACAACCAAAACAAGTTTCTTTTTTCTTGGTCTCATTTCCAATTTGTTACAAAATATAATTTCATGGAGGTTGATGTCATACAATTTATTTATTTTTTATTAAAAATGAAAAAATAGAAACAAGAAACAGGAACAAACGGACCGTTATTATTTATCTCTTTTCTAGTGGGATCGAGCTTTCTCAACATTTAGAGAAGGTAATAAAGGCATTTTATCCATTAAACCATACTCGGAGTGACACATATGCAATGTGTACTGTTGTCTGTATAAAAATGTTTGGGAATGAGAGAATTTCTTGAACTTATTGTAGCTCAATATATTATTCCTTACATGCGACAATAATAAGCTTAAAAAGTGGATCAAATACTCTATACCATATTAATTAAACACATAAAATAGATTGGTTATGTATCATGTTTATCTATATGTTTCTTAGTATAATTATCAGCCAATTTGACCATAGCTCAACAATAATTAAGATATCTTTTACCTTTCTACCCATCGAAAAGTTTGAATCTTTACTCGTAGAATTGTAGTTGTTATACAAATTTGCTTCTTTCATACTACAAATTTGCTAATCTTACAAGCTACATAAACACAAACCCTAGATTTCATAGAGTAACCCTACCTTTTTGTATACTATATAAATTTATTCTAACAAATGCCAAATAGATGTAATTAAGCACATATATATAGCATCAATGATAAACAAAAAGAAAAACAATATAATTTATAATTCTTACCAAACATAATTATGTAGGACCTAACTTATGAAAACAATTTTCAATTAGAGAGATGAACCCTAGCTAGGAATCTCCAATCTCCAACCCCAAGCCCTTATATTTGCCAAAATCTTCTCTTCTCTTCTTCACACAAAAAACAGAAAACAAAACAAAAATCCCATCACAAAATTAAACCCTAGTGTTCCTTAATTTCTCAAAAAAACACCCCATTAATGGCCACTCTCCATGAAACCCATTCCCAAGTTTCTGTTACAAAAATTATCTCTGTTTTCCCCAAAACCTTAAACCCTCCAAAACTCTTGGAGCTCTCCAATTTGGACAGGCAGTGCCCTTTGCACATGTACCTTGTTTTCTTCTACAATCCATCTCCTGCCTACTCAAGTTCATCTCTTGATTTAGTCTTCACCAAATTGAAGGCAGGCTTAGAAGAAACCTTGGCGGTCTGGCCCCAGGCTGCGGGGCGGTTGGAGCCGAGCCCCACCGACGGGAAACTGAACCTCCGGTGCAACAACCGCGGCGTGATTCTTGTTCAGGCGATGACAAACGTCGAGATCTCGGGACTGGGAGATCTCTCCAAGTATAATGAGTTCTCTGAGAAGTTGGTTTATAAACCTGTTTTGAATGGCAATTTCTCTGAGTTCCCTTTGGTTGTGGCTCAGGTGAGAGATTATATATATATATATATATATATGATCAATTCTCTATCTTTTATATACTGATGATCAAAAAAGTGAATCAAGAAATCTGTCTTCGATTCTTGTTGCCATGTCTAGAAATATTTGTTCACAACACAATTTTTCTTTAGTTTCATGACAAAGAAAAGAAAGGAAGGATTTTTTTTTTTTTGGGATGATGTTGATTTTATTTGCTTGGGACAAAAGAAACAAAAGATCAGTGGCTATGTCTATGCTTTATAGGGCAAAGAGACAAGCTTTGGATTAGACAATGAATACTTCACAGTCTGTAAAGGCAATTATTTTTGTTCATCCTTTTAATGTTGTTTTGAAGCTTAATAAAGCGTTAGATTAACAAATTTATTGATAATACAAAATTGAAAATTAAGTGTCTAGACTGGAATTTTTTTTTTAACTAAATAAGCACACAAATTTGTTTGTTTCTATGAAATTTTGAAAGATTTCAAATCCTAATGAATTTGGTTGTTTGTTATCATTTGAAATATAATGAAATCGTGGGTGGTTACTTCTTTTATGTAAACAAAAATAGTCGAATTTTGTAGAATTCTAAGATAAATTACTTGTCATTCTAATTTTCAATTAGTAAATCAGGATAATGAATTCGAAAACCTATTGACCTATTTAAACGTTTCTTGAATTTTCTATTGGACAATATTCTTGCTTAGCGCCATTAAAAATTTGAGAGTTCATTTTTTTAAAAGAAAAAAAAATATTTTTTATCTGCATTTTCACTCTCGCAAAGTAAGAGATAGTTGTTCACGAATAAATACTTAAAATCCACAGTTGACGAGATTTGGGTGCGGAGGATACACCGTAGGGACAGGAATAAGCCACAGTTTATTCGACGGGCCAGCTGCGCACGATTTTCTTACTGCATGGGCTGCAAAATCCGCCATTTTCAAGCAGAGGATGGAGCATCAGGTTGAGTTGCAGAGGCCAGTGCACCAGAGAGGGAGCCTTTTGGATATGGCTAAGTTCGGGAATCCCCGGAGTTCGGCATCGGCAGCGGTGGCGATCGAGCATTTGTACGGGTTGATAATGCAAGCTGGCCGTGAGAATAATGGTGAAATGGGTAAAAATAAAAAAGATGAATATTTTTGCACAACGTTTAGAGTGAGTAGAGAGATGATTCAGAGGCTGAAGAACAATGCTAATTTGGGTGCAAATGCTGCCTTCCATTGTTCCTCTTTCGATGTCATTGCTGCTCATCTCTGGAAGGTAACTAACTACGACTTTCAATAATTTCGTGCATTTTTTCCTGTTGTCTACCGCTAAATTTTTTTTGTGAATTAGAATACTGGAAAATTTTAGAAAAAATATTTAGTTTATTACCAATCTGTCTTGACAATTATTGAATGTTTGATATTTGAGAGAAAAGTGGAAAAGTTGAGATTTTTTTAGGCAAAATGCATTTTTATCCATGAAATTTGAGTTAGGTATATATTTAGTTTCTAAAATTTTAAAATATACACTTTTACTCCATGTTTAGAAAATAATTTAAAATGGTCCTAAATTAAATTAACTGTTAGTGTTATTAACTAATAAAATTTTAAATGGAGTGGTCTTGATTTGAAACTCTCCTCCTTTCCTCTTTTCATAGTTCGTCTCTTCTTCTTTGATGAACTGCTACCCCCAAATATTCTCCCTCGTCACGTATGATCTTTAAGTTGTTATATGAATTTAATTCTTTTTTTAGTATAACAAATTGGGATATCGGTGTTTGAACATTCGATCTTATGGAAAAAAGTAGATGTCAATTACTACAGAGCTGTACTCTTGTTGGCATATATTAAATATTTGTTCATATAGACATCTATTGACCCATTAAACAAATAAAAAAAATAGTTTTTAAAAATGATATTTAAAAATTTAGAAACCAAAATAAAATAGACATAAAAGTTCAAGAATTACAATAGAATTTAAACCATGAAATTAATCGAAGGGTTTGTTATCATTTTGAGAATTTTTTTGTAGAAATACATTCTAATTAGTAGTTGGTCCACAAAAGTTGAATGATATTTGTTTTCACTTATGTTAAAATTTTAAAGAAATAATTTTATTTTAGAAACAATTTCCAATTATAATGAGAAAATCTTAACTATATTTCTTTTGAGTACAACAAAGTGAGATATAGAGATTTAAACTTTCGACCTTACAATAGGGAGTAAATGTTAATTACTGTTGCTGGATCTTACTTTAACTATTTAACTAAATCATTTGACATTTTTACACTAAACTTCTTATTTCCTTTTATCTTTAATATGCGTGCCTAGTAAAAGATAATTTATGTTAATTTTTATTTTGGTAAAATCGTATGTTTAGAATATTAATAAAATATGTTACTTTTTTTTTAAATTAAAAATCCATTAATTAATATTAGGAAACATTTCATTCTCCAGCTTTGTACTTCGTAGAGTGAAATTAATTTACTTTTAAACTTAAAAGTTTAAATAAGTGATAAGCGCATTACCAATATAAACCTAACTCAACAGTAATTGGCAACTATGTCCGAGGTCGTGAGTTCAACTCTCTCACCCCACTTGTACGCAAAAAAGTGATAGAATCATTAATCAAATTTTAAACAATTTTCTACCTCCTTTTTTATTAGTATCATTCATTTAGTATTATTATTATTATTATTGCATGAAATTAAGATTTGCTTAATGCTGAGGGGTAAAATGAAATTTCTGTGGCCCGGTTTTCTGACTTATCGGTACAGGCAAGGACCAAGGCTCTGTCTGTGAACAAGGAAAAAATGGTGTGCTTACAATTTGCCGTAGATGCCAGGAACAGGCTTCTACCTCCTCTGCCCAAAGGCTTCAGTGGAAACGCCTTTGTGCTCGCTTCAGTCACCTTAACTGCAAAACAACTCGAGGAAAAAAGCCACAGAACAATAGTCGAAATGATACAAAACGCCAAGTCTCGAGTCAACAACGACTATGTTCATGCATACAAACTAGGCCTGGAAGGGCCTCAGGCTTCACTTCCTCCCCTCAAGGAGCTCACTGTTGTATCAGATTGGACCAGAATGCCATTCCACAAGATTGACTTCTTACATGGACAAGCTGCCTACGCTTCGCCTTTGAAGCCCCCGATCCTCGAGGTTGCTTACTTTCTGCAGAACCCAGCAGATAGCCAGTCGATCGATGTTCGGGTCACTTTGCTCTCGCATACTCTCGACACTTTCTCTTCCTACTTCATGACCAGTATGCAGTAAGCTTCAAAGTTTCTCTTATTCTTCAGGGGTGGCTGGCTTTATTTTAGGGTATCCCTATAGTGGGTCAGAGTGATAAGTTTGAATAGGATCAGAGAAAGAGTTATAACAATAAAAGGGTTTGTTCACTATAGAACAAATTGTCAAATAGTAGTACCAAGAGACAAAAATGTGATTTCTGCATAGAATAAGAGGGATTTGGGGGTGGCTTTTGTGGTCTAAATCAGTGTCAACATTGAGGTGGGTGCTGTAATAACTTCCATCTAATCTAAAAACAGATATCGTTTCGAAAGTCAACAAAAACGAAACCGATCACGTGTAGTGTAGTGAAACAGAATCATTACCCATATGAATTACAATGTACAATTGTTGGCCAACATGAATAGCAACAAACAGTCATGGAATTAAAATGAAAACAGAGACTTCCTCTTGAACTTAGGAGGATAAATGAGAAGAACAATGGTCAGAGAGCTAAACCTGCAGGAACTAAATACATTAAAATCTGCTTGAGGAAAAACTAGACAACACTGGATGTTCGATTCGAGACTTTTTTCTTCGGGATTCACATGCATGTTCCGATCGGGTAACTATCACATCCAAAGTCTCCTTCCAACAACTTTCCATCATCTTGTTCCTGCAGAGTATCAAATTTTGTTTGTGACTGGGAAACTATAGTGTTAAAAGACAATAGCAATTTTTTTTCATAACCGAAATCTTGGCTGAAAATAACGTTGACAATACAAGTTATGAGTTCCTGATAAGAACTGAATTTAAAAATGAATATCTCTTAGTATTGATATGGAAATGTACCCATACATGCAATTTTGACCATTTAAGAAAGTACACTCTTGGTTGCTAACTATCCCTCACAATGTCCTTACTATCCCTCTTTATGAACTTATCAATTTCATGTGAATTTTTGGGTTTGAATCAGAACCACATATATAGTGTAAGGCTAAATAGCGAGATGATCTTAAGAGTTCATTACTCTTCTGTTATAAAAATAAGCAGACACAGAATAAAGGGAAGGCCTCAAGTGAAGAGAGAGGAGAGGAAAGGAAAAAAGTAGCATAGACACAGGGCAAATAAACTATTCACTTATGAAGGCATAGATTAAAACAATAGCCAAGAACATGTTCTCTCTCTTTTTGTTCTTTAAAGGGAAAGAAAGATTATCGAATGCATCCAAACAAATGTTTTGCTGGCATTCATGTATTGTTTTCTCATAGAAACATGCCATGGTTGATGTGACAGACACATTGAACTCGAGTAGAAACTGAGTTGTCAACTGAAAAAAGCAAAAAGAAAAATCTGAGAGAATGGATATTCTGTTATCATATCTAATGGGAAAGGATACCAATTCGCTGTTCACTACTTGGTTTCAGAATTGCAGTAAAAGAAGGAAAGGGGTTCTCACTAGATACAATCACAAAGTTACAATTTTCTCCCTTTCAGTACCAGCGCTATTAACTTTGAAGATACTAAGGTTAGTGATTGAAGCCTAAAACCGCTAAGTGAAACCACTAACAAGACAAAAAGAAGAGGTTACCTGTTTCATCATTGCACATGCTATATCTTCCAAGGAGCCACAGTTACTTGACGAAAATCTAGCTTGCATCTTTTGCTGCTGATCGTACAGGTATCCTTGTTTCAACACGAGTGATGTCTCCATAGCTGATTTCTTGAATTGATCATGTTCCACCATTGCATGATCAAGAACATTTGCTTGACTAGTCACATTAAGATCCTTGCTTCCGTAGAAGATCGTGTTATGACTTTCCAAATGCTTGGGTAGCGTCTCAGCGGCACCATTCACGGGTGTTAAAGAATTTGATGAGCTACAGGCGACAGCCGTGTGGTAATAGGCATCCTCTTTGTGGTCGTTCCAATTCTGAACAGGAACCTTTTTGAATACTTGATCATATTTATTGCTGGTTGTGGCTACTTGACATTGAGAATCTGTTTGCGAATCACGGGACTGGGTAGATATTGAAGTGATGGAAGAAATGTCAGAAAGACAATTTCCAATATGCAATGCACCGGTAGTATTGTCTCTCAAGTGACTATGGTAGGAAGTAGAGATATTAGAAAGGTTGTTGGATGGAATGGTATTCAAGTGGATCCTGGATGAATGAACAGCTTTCGACCAATTGTCACCGGTGCATCTAGCATTATCTAGAGAAGGACGTGAACTTTCTGAGTTGGAGGATACTACTGAAATGGAAGATTGAGGTCCAAATTTTCGACCACTGTGGACTTCATGATGCTGGACTTCTGAAATCAAGGGATCATTAGTTAATCCTAAAAGAGGATTGCTCAAGCTACCAGCAGTCATAGTTGCATTTGGTAGGCCAATGGAAGCAGGAAATACTGTTCTCTCATCAAAATCAGGAGAGAGGTCGTCCACATGGGTCCCATGCTTAACATGTTGTAGTTGATCAAGTTCTGAGGGCTCTGGCATTCCTCGGAAAATATTCCCGCTGCGGTTTCCAGAAAGCATGATTGGCTGAAATGCAGGCTGATCATTGCTTGGATTGTTCAAACTACCCAGTTGAACTGTACCCGGAGAAGGAAGGCTGTGCATACCCATACAAGCAGGAGTATTCAATCGACCAAGCATCCCAGTAGTCGGGATAGATCTGAAAGCAGTGTTGGGAAACTGTGGAGGTCCACTCAAGGAATGGAAATTCCCAATTCCACTAAGAGAACCAATTCTCAAATAGGAAGGATCTGCACTGCTCAATGCAGTCACCATGTTAGCTTGCTGGTTTGCTACACAGCTGATTCTTTTGAGATAAAGCCTGTATTTCTGCAACCCACAGAAGTAAATGTTAGGCTTCTAAAAGTAATGAACAGGTGCAAGAATCACCAGACTGTTTACCTGGAGATGGCTGGCTACATTTTCTCTTGTGAGCTTATCTACATTCATCAAGTCCAAAATCTTTTTAGGCACTGCCTCTGTAATGCAAAAAGAGATAGAGAAAGAACTATTAGGGAAAGAAATCCACATGACTATAGAATGATATACATTTTTAATAGGAAATCACATTCTGAAGCTAACTATTGGGTACCTAGATGCATTGGTTAAGTTATCAATACTATATCCTGAAGCTAAAAAAATATGATAATAATGGGGAAAGTTGCAATTCAGCAATTCCATTTTTTTCAAAAGGAATGATGAGAAGTGTTGATTCATGAAAACCATTTTTACCAACCAAAAAAAAAAAAAAAAGTAAAAAAGCAAAGAGGATGAAGAACTCACTGTCTATGCCCAACTGGTTAACAGCATTTACAAACTTCCTATGCAGCTCCACAGACCAAACAACGCGAGGTTTCTTCTGGGTCGACGAGTCATCATTCTCTTGCCCATTATAGTCCTGGTCCTCATCTTCATTGTAGTTCTGATCCTTCCTCTTTTTATTAAATTTCCCATTTGAATCAGCTGCTTCTTCCCCGGTCTCAGAATCAGGCTTGTCCAGATTGTCAGAATTCATTCGGTCCTTCGGATCAAATTTCTTTCTCCTGATTACATGCTGCCAAATGTTCTTTAGCTCCTCAATGCGAACAGGTTTCAGCAAGTAATCACATGCTCCATGAGTAATTCCTTTCATCACAAGCTTGGGATCACCATTTGCAGACAGCACTAAGAACACGTTCACATATCAAAGTAAACAACTGGTTAATATTCTTCAGTTTTAGCTTAAATTTCAAAAGAGAAATTAAAGGGTAAAAGTGCACCATAGGTCAAATTTTATTGAGACAAATGCAGGGACGCAAACAAGATAAGTGTGTAATTTATTATTTCTTAGAATATACCATCATACTTTTCTCTAAAGTAGCCAAACTTTAAGATCTAGTTCTGGTCAACTATGGAAAATTTTAAATTAATAATTTATCTGTATCCAAAATAGACCTTCAAAACTTTCATTGAAAAGCTTCCTTGCAAAAAACCAAAGAGAGAGACAACAAAATGAAGTTTGTGTGTGCAGCGCAGTTCAAGACTTACTAATAACAGGTAGGTCCATCTCCAGCCCAACAAGCTCTAGCAGCTTAAATCCATCCATGTCAGGCATGTGGACATCACTGATAACCACGTCGAACTTGTTCTTGTTTTCTCTCAACAACTTCAGCGCCATAACAGCCTGATTAGTTGTAGTGACTGCAAATATCAGATAAAAACAATTAACTTACATTGGATCAAGTCTTCAAAAGCCAAACGAATCATTAAACCTATAGACAAACCAAGGAAAAGATCCAAAAATATTGCAGGCTTAATAGATCAGAAGAAATGAGATGGAACGGACGACCAATTTGCAGGGGTCCAGAGCAAGATTCAAAAACTAGACAATTCTATCTGCAGAGATGGTATGTACCAGTCTGATTTGAGGAGGGGTCCAAGAATATGCACCATGTAAAATTCTAAATGCAACCAAGTCATAAACATCATAGAACCAGAAAAACTGTTCGTGTATGCAACGAATCTCAATTAGGCATAGAGAATTAAATAATTAACACAACGAGACACATGAAATCAAGAAAATCAAATTCTCTGATACCATACAAGGGGAATCCAAATAAAAGTTTGAAATTAATCTTATTCCTTTGCATTCAATCAAGTCAACGGACGGAATAGATTTGACAACCCAAGTAACTGAGACAAGATCTCACCAAAATGACCAAGTAAAAAGTAAAGAGAGAGGCACAATCCTCAAGAACAGAGCAGAGTCCAGAGACTACATACCAATTACAAGAAACGAAGTGAAGGGCGAGAAACAGAGGAGGATGAGAGCATACCATGATACTGGCATCGACGAAGCAAAGTCTCCAAAATCAAAAGGCAAGTGGGATCGTCGTCAACGGCGAGCACACGCATTCCAGACGGAAATTGATCAGTTGGGTCGTCGACTCGCGGCTCAACCGTCATCGTTTCAGCTTCCAACAGGCGAGAACTCCGGCGGGTTGAACTGGGGGGAAGGATTCGGCCTCCGTAGGATGAGATTCGCGAAGACCCAGAAGAAAACGTGGGATTGAATATCGTATAAAATTAAGGAAGGTCTGAAAATATGGGGAGCGAGAGAGAGAAATGGAAAATGGAATCTGCAATTATCTACGGACAGGGAGTAGCTGTGGAAGAAGAACAGAGGCAGAGGCTGTGGAAGAAAAGCTTCTGTAGAGTTTCCACAGTATACAACCTCTCACTCTCACTCAGCTTTCAATGGCGATGCGAAAATGGAATTTCGTTTCCACGATTTCCCAAATCCGGCGCGTGTTTTATACGTCCTATTCCACTAGGGGTTGACCCACAAACAACTTCAGTTCTTTTTTTTTTTCCATTAAAATTATTGGAAAATTTATTCTCAATTCTTTTACATTAATTTTTCTAAAAGATTGATTTTTTTTTTTAGGGGATGAAACTTGAAATTAAAGGATCGTCATTACTTTTTTAATACAATAGAGGAGAGATTTGAATTTGTGACTCTAGATTTTAGACATGTGTAAATTATCTCTGTTAATGTGGACAATTTTGATAGATACTCAACCCAAACAGATATTTTGTTAATATAAATTTCTATAGAATTTTTGTCAAATAAATTATTAGTTAATAGTAATGACTAATATGATACTAGTTCACTTGTAGATGTATCAATTAAAAAGAATGGTAAATATTCAGTTATTTATTACTTTTTTTTTTCAAAAATTTAAAGCTATTTATTATACAAATTTTAAAATTCAAAATAAAAATATTTAAACTTAAAGTTTGAAGACCAAACATAAAATTTGAACACTAATTTTCCTTTGAAATATTGTATAAAAAAAAAGGAAAAAAGAGGCACCTACATATAGGCATCTCATTAAATTTATTTTAAAATATTGGAAACAAAAACCGTTTTATTTGCAGATTCCAAACAAGGAATAAGGCATGAGATTCCCGAAGGGTGGGATCCGGTGTGGTAGGGGACACAGCAAGGCTGTGTATGGAAGACACGTGTGCAGGCGCATTGCCACTGATGAAGATGCACCTCACTAGAAAACAAAATTATAATTAATTAATTTATTTATTTATTTAGCCCTAAAAAACTTGAGCTTTTAACAGCTTTATCTTTTATAAAGTGGGAAAAGGGGTGCTTTTGAGATCAAAGTTGAGTAATTTCTAATGGTCTTTGAGAAACCCAACTCAAGTGTGCATTTTGACTCTCTAAGACCAAGAAATCATATCCCTCATGTAAGTTTTTTTTGGCAAATTTAACCTAACAATTTTTAAATTAATAAAAAATCTATGTTCTGGTTTGATGGGTTTTGATTGGGTTGATTGGTTTTTATTAGTTTATTACACATGGTTCTTGAATTAGTTTTCGAGTTCGACGTGTTAGTCCAAACTTTTACTTTAACTCAAAGTTGGCCTAATTTACACATTCATCATACGTTAAATACCTACTTTTAGAAATTTGAATTTGGGATATTCTACATTTTAAATGACTATTTCATTCCAAAAATTAAATGAGTTTTATTTCGTTTCGAGATGTTTTTTTGAGTTGAACGTCAATGGAATTATTGGTAGAAAGATAAGATGTCATGCACCATGCAACTCACTAAAAAAAACCATCTTTATGAGAATATGTTAAAAAAGATTAAAGGAGATAATGAATGAATTAATTAAGGTGCATTTTCTCAACCAATATTTATAGCATCTTGTTCGGTCTCGTGATAATTTTCAAAATAATTTTTGTACCTAAAAATAAATCATTCCAGGGATACAAAACTCAACTAAACAAAGATTAGTTGAAAGGTAAATGTGTAGTTATGAAAATTATAGATGCTTATAGTTGGTTAAATTACAACTTCAGTCTTTATTGTTCGAGATTTAGTACAACACTGTGGGTGGAGAATCGAACTCACAATCTCTTAGTTGGAGATATATGCAAATTTTTGGGAGTTGAGTTTCAAAGATAATTGGTTTTGAAAACCAAAGGAGTTGGGATATTTTATGACCTTTCGCCCGAGGAAAAATTTGATAAACCAACCCCTTTTAATCGATAAAAACACGTTCTTTTTTATACAAAATCGATTAGCTTTATATTTTTAACTAAATCTCCAAAACTAGATCACAAAAGTCACCCACACACCCATCTCCCTTTCCTCTATAGAACAACCATTAACATTTTGTATCAATAAGGAATGCTTAAAAACAAAAATAGTAATTCAACATATAATTGGAGGGCTTGAATTAAAATGCAAAAAGATATGGCATATGCATGGTGAAGAAAGAAAGAGAGGGGAATTGAATAATTGGTCCCAATCCAAAGGGCAACAAATTATGAAAGAGGTAAATGGGCACTTTTGTTTGTGGTGGAAAACCCAAACACTTACACCCCAAAGCATGCTTCATTTTTTATAAAAGCCCTTTTAAATCATTACTTGATGTGATTGGAATCTTTCCCTCCTAAATATCTCTCTATATCTAATCTAATCTAATATATGTCCCTCCCTCTCTACAAAAAAGCTCATTTCTTTTTCTCTCTCCTTTTAACTCGTAAATTATTAACCGATACAAATATCACTTTCTTAGAAGAAGATCATATCAAAGATCATAAACCACGAAGTAAAATGGTATCAAATGAAGTTATCAATACAACAGTAAGAGTTGCGCCATCAACTAGGGTTGATTTGGGTTGACGGAGCCAGTATATCGGGTCAACATAATTCTTATCGAGATTAGAGAGGGCCTACCAACCGACTGATATTGATTTGGTCGGTTTTTGGTCGATCGGATCGATTTTTCGGAAGCTTTTGCTCACCCCTAATATCTACTATATTATACTACTGTCTCATATGGAAAACATATACTGAAAAGCCTGTTTTCAAATTTTGTAAAAAATTATGCTGTTATTTTATTTGGTCTAAAGAAATATATTTTTGTATTTTATTTTAAATGTTCTGAAATAACACTTAGGTGTTTATCTGTCAGCATATCTTTTACTAACTATCTTTAAATTTCAAAAAATTAAAAAGCTGCATCATCCTTGGTTGACTTAGTGGTCCAAATCGGTTGGTATATTCTGAAGAATTTAAAGGTCATGAGTTCATAAATGTAGTAGAGTCAGACGGTTGTCTCCTGAGATAGAGCTGTGAAATTTTTATTGGTGTCGATAAGAAGAGGAGTGATGACTTGGCGAGGTTGTTTGGAGTTTAAGAAGAAGACAAAAGGGTTGGCCTTTGGTGAAATGGGTGGGTGAGTTTGGTTTAATGGGGATAGTGGCTAAAAGATTTTGTAAATATATATTCATAGATATGGTGATGTTTCATATATACTCTGCCCCTTTTTTTTTTTTTTTGCTTTTATATATATTAGTGGGTATGAGGAGGATCTTTTATATTGTATTTATCATAGATTCTTATCATATCATAAAAGTTATTTTATTTTTTTTATTTTCTTTCTAATTTAGTTATTTTTAACTTGTTTTGCAGAGTGTTAAAAATTGCTAATTCTCTTCTTTGTATGTTTTGTTCAAAGGTTGACTTGAGTGAGACTTTTCTAAGAAGGTTTTTATTGTGGCAAATATAGTAAAGAACAATATTTAGAATTTTATTTTTGGTTTGAATATATATGTGTTTGTTATATGATTTGGTAAGATTGTAAGCTTAATTATTTAGAGGATGAAGACATATATATAAAGTATATATTCTAAAAGTAAATTTGATGACATGATCAATATATATTTGGTAAGATTTCTATTCCCTCCTATTTAAAAAAAAAGAAAGAAAAAAAACATATCTTTGCCTTGTCTGGTGGAGCTTTCAAAAGTTTTCTACGCTTGAATTTAATTTTAAATCCCTTCCATGTGTGCAATGAAATTGAGACAAGGTTTTAAACGACGATATGGTATGGAAATGTCGAAGTCTCAATTTTATGAAAATATCGACGTCGATGGATATTTTTAAAAGAATTATAAAAATAAAAAAAATCAAAACAAAGATTTAAATTAATAAATTAGTATTTAATCATTTTAAATAAGTAAAATATTAGTAAATTTACGATTATGTCAATGTCGACGAATATTTAATATCTTAAATAGAGGAACAAATAAAAGAAAAAAAAATAACAATGAATATGTAATCAATTATATAATTGTTACTTTCATTTTTAATAATTCAACATGTTATCTCATTCTCATAGTTACATATTACTTTTAGGTTGGTGAAATAGTACTAGGAAAAAAAGACAATAATTTTGAATGAAAACGAAGCACTATTCATAGCATTGAATAAGAGCCATATACGAATGAGGGCATTATTTATTATGATTATGCAACATATGATTCAACCATTCAACAGTTAAGATATTTTGTTTCTTTACTAGAAGTCTGATGTTCAATTTCATATATCTCCACATTTAAATTCAGCAAAGAGAATCAAATCTTAAATCTTGTGAAAACTCCAAATAATAATAAAAAAAAACCACGACCCACCAGAAAGAAAAAATTATTACGTTTAAAAATACTATAATCACAAAATTAAAATTTCTCCCTCCGATCCCATGTACAGAAAACACTTGTTTCTTTATAATATTTTGTCAAGAACTCAATACTTGCCGATACTTTATTCACTTAATTATTTATTGGCTGAAATAAAAAATTATATTTTAAATTTTAAGAGAGAGAAAAAAAGAAAATATAAAAAAGGGCGTGGGATTAGCTAATATTGTCTCCTATGATTAGATTTAGAATATAATAAAATAAATCACAAGTAGCTTCCTCCCACCTTCTTTCTTCTCTTCTTCTTCCCATTGGTGCCTTCCCACTTACATTATTTATGTTTTCTCTGCTTTTTACAATACATGCATCTGAGAGTTGAGACACTAATTTGAATCTCAATAAGTTTTTTTTTTATATATATTCATAGACATGTGTTAAAATGGGCTGTTTCTGACCGCTAATATTATATATATATATATATATATATATATATATGATTGATGATTAACATATTTGATTCATTTAAGTGTATTAATTGACATGGGTTAATCCAATAATTTTTTCTTGGAAAAAAAAGGAGATTTATTATTTATTTTGTAAAGTTACAATCATGATTCGAAGCATATTTCCATTATTATAATTTTGATAGAATTTTAGTATAATCCTTTTAAAAATATTTGAATCTTATTTTTCTATCTCTCCTATTTCATTTTATTTTAATTTCTAAACTTTTAAACATTCTATACTAGTCAATTGATTTTCTTTTAAAAAAAATAATTTTTTATAAATTATTTAACAAAAATCTGAAAATAGATTCGTTTTTTTTTTTTTTTTGAGAAATAGTGGCTTTCATTTATTGGACTAATGAGGAGATTTGTATATAGACGATTATTTATATAGGTTGGGTGTTGAATTTCACAATGAATTTAGCCTTTTTAAAAGAGAAAAGGTAATAGCACAAAATATTTGAAAGTTGAGGGAACGAAATAAAATATTTGATAGCGGCCAAAATAAAAATACGTTTGAATTTTCAAAATTTTCTTTAAAAAACAAAAATAATACAGTATTTTGATCATTCCTATCCAATATTAAGGCCCAATGTTTAGCCCAAGCCCAAACTTTATTATTGAGAAATGATTGTCAGGGCTTGTAGGCCTATGGGCCGACAAGAGGACTATGGGCCCACAATCGACAACATTGTCTCTGGCTCGCCGAACTTTAGTACAATCAAATTTATTTTCTAATGTCTTCAAACTTTTATCACTGCCACATCTTATACGTTACATGTAATTTTATTTTATTTTTCGTTAAATTTTATCCTATGCTTTAAATGGTTACTTCTATTTTCTTTGTTTAGTTTAATTTTGAGTTTTTAACAGAAATCTTAACACAATTTCAAGAAATGAGAAAAATAGATTTTGAAAACTGATGTTTTTCTTTCTTATTTTTTTTAAATTTTATTTAGAATTCAAAATTATTTTTTGAAGGAGGTCATTATACAAAGAAATTGTGAGTAAGTATCGTGTTAAAATATTTTAATACAAATAATTTTTTTTTTCCAAAGGAAAATTTGTAATTACATTTCTAGAAATTTAATAAGTTGAAGTATCATGTTAAAATTACGATTAAAATAAATGATATAAAAATGAAAATGAAGGGACCAAAATAATAACTTTTTAAAAGTACATGAACCAAAACAAACGTTTTATATCAGTACATAGACTAAATTGAACAAACATTAAAAGTACATCAACTAAAATAAACGTTATGAAAATATATAAGTAAAAATAAAAAGGTACAAGACTGCAATAGTTAAAACATAAATTTTATATTCAAAGTGAAGAAGTCCAATATTAAATAAAATAATACAAAAAATAGTGAAGTTTCTTTTGAATAAAAATTGAACACTCAAATGTTAGAAAGACAGAGAAATCTCATAAAGAGATTTAGTTTCAATATAATAAATAAAGTAAATGATTCATGCAATCACATGATGTGTCCCTTTAGATAACACCATGAGAGTTCAATTTCAAAAGTTCCAACTTTTTCCTCTCCTTTCTTTCCTTCTATTATTATTATCATCATCATCGTTACAATATATCCAGACTTCTTTAATATTATATAATTCATAAAAATCAACGAAACTAATTTTTAAAGTTCAATATATTTATATTTCCCAAAAATCATATCAGATTCTAAGTTATTACAGTCTACAATCAAAAGTCATTTCGAATTGGACAGATGAACCAAAACCCACTAATTTAGAGCTTCGGAGAAGGATTAAAAATAATGGAAAGTTGTAGGAAGATGACAACATATAGATGATTGAAAAATGGTCGCTTATCTGTAGGGCATGCAACAAAATTAATGGACAATGACAAGAAATGTGAAAAGAGAGCCCTAAAAAAGGGGCATCAAAGTTTAGGGAGAGAGAAATTAAGGATAGGGTGCCCTTAATTGAGAGATAGATTTGGAAGTACATTGGGCATAGTTGTTTGACTAGCGTCCCATATTGTCCCCTCTATGATCAATAAGGCACCTAATAAGTAGTTGCTTCTGACACCCTCCACTCTATGCTTCCCTCCCTCTATTTCGTCTGGATTCAAAATGATTCGATTGTAGATATCTGTTGATATTCAGTGGGCGTACGATTTTGTGTATCAAAATATCTTTAATGTCTGTAAAGATCTTCTGTCCAATGATATGATCCACATCTCTTAGAGCATATCCTTACAGACCGCTCCTCTATAAAAGAAAGAGTACCCAAACCCTTATTATACGAGAATCTAGCACCCAACTACTTGTCTTCCTTCTAGCTCTTTTGAACTTAAGATTCGGAATGCATTAGGGGTAGAGTACTACGGTGTTGAGTTCGGTTTTGCACGTTACGCGCACGCAAGAGAGATCACCAATCCATCTTCCGTTGTATACACATCACCCTAGATCAAATTTTGGCATCAACAGAAGATTTTTACTTTTGGCTTTAGTCTATTTTCGTATGTTTTACATTTAATTTTTGTTTATCTTAGTCTCTATACTTTCGAAACGCTGATTTTATGGTCAAACTAAAACTGATAAAAATTGACAGTACAGAGACCAAAATGAAACAAAATTGTTTAAAATTACAAAAATCAAAATTACATTTAAATCATAAAGAAAATAAACAACGGTCAATTTTTTTATAATGGTTAGTAAGTTAATAATTATGGACTGTTCATCCATAAACCCAAAAATTTAAGAGGATGGATTAAAATAAATTTAATTATTTATATGATATCTAACCATAAAATTCGAAATACAATTCTAAATTTAATCTCTCTTTTTTTACTTCTTTTCATCTATTTGTTTGGTGAAGAAGTTGCTGACTTTTGTTTTTCAGATAATGGGAACTAATTAAGCTCTAGATTTTAATGGGTTTTATTTGTCTGAAAATCTACTTTCTAGGAAGGGAAAAAGAAAAATCTTGATTTCGACATTAAAATTTAAATCAATAAATAATAAAAACGTGATGCTTTATCAAATTAACAAGAGATCCTCCACGATTCGTTGATGGAAGATTTTTGTTCGTATCTGTACCGTCGGCCTTTATTTCTTTAGGTTTCCTTCCAAACTGTTTGTTTATTTTATTTTATTTTTAAAAAAACTTCTATATTTCTCCTGACATAATTTAATAGATAAAATATCTATTACCATCACAAAAGTCTATTGATTTATTTATTTAAAAATTCCAAGTATTTCTCACCGTTCATTTGCACATAATTCTCCCGCTCATTTATAATTAATTCTTTAATATTACTGAGCCTCAGTCCTTATCATTTAGACGCTATTGATACTGATTAGATTTAGCAACGATCTTCCTTTCTAAGTACCATTAAAAATTTCATACCACTTTTTTTAAATATATATATCCTTTCTACATTCATTTCTCTTTTACTTGTCAAAAATTTAACGATCAAAGATAGGTGTTAACCGATGATCGGAGTATCATTCTTGACGAGGCTATACCGTAGCACTAAAAACATTTCGTACCAAATAGAGAGTAAGAAATAAGAATTTTCACATAGAGAAACTTAAATGATTATACCTTATAATTTTCCACTTTCAAAAAATTTGATAACTAATTCTGAAAAAATAAATAAATAAGAAAAATAATCTTTTTCTTTCCATTCATCTCTCGTACTCTTCTGTGTATAATATATTTCTCTAAAAATATTTAGGTACTGATCAGGGAGTATGTATTTTGTATTGACCCATTAAAATTTTTATAAATAACAAGAGAAATACAAATGCAGGGAAAATTAAATAATGAACTACCAATAATTCAACACGGTCGTATCCTTTGCTCGACTCGAGACTCTACTATAATCCTAAAAGGCTTGAGAAATTATTAGAGGATGCCACCGCAACAATTAATTTTAAACCATTTGAATGAATGAAAAATCACAATAAAAATATTTCAAAAAGTGTATGTAATTGTTACAAGAGCATGTAGCAGAGCTCATTGAACAATCTTTACTAAGAAATTTTCTTTGAATTTTATGTATAATATAGAAATAAAAAGTAGCGCTGTTACAGTAAGCGATATTTGTTGTTATATTAATGAGATTTTGCGACTCCAGACAACTCCTTTTTCTCTGAAAAAATCTCTCTCTCCGTCGAAGAAATTAAACCTGCAGCCTCCAACAAATGGAAGCCACGAGCAGAAGTAGTACGGCGGCGGACCCATGTCGGCCGCCGGAGAACCCATTTTCCGGCGACCAAGATCAAGAAGAAGAACCCATTTTATTGGATCTTCACCTGTGTTCAAATCCAGACGCAAAGCCCAGAATTTTCTCATGCAATTACTGCCAGAGAAAATTCTACAGCTCCCAGGCTCTGGGCGGCCACCAAAATGCCCACAAGAGAGAGCGCACTCTCGCAAAGCGGGCCCACAGATTCGACTCCTGTAATTGGCCCGCCCTCCACGGCGGCGTGTTTGACCGACGCTCCCTCGGAATCCACGCGCACTCTCAGCTGATCCACAAGCCGCCGCCGGGTAATGCCTTTTCCGGATCCGGGTATGGGTGGTCCAGGCCGGCGTTCATCGGTCAGCTGCCGGCCGTCGGGCGGCTCACGGCGGTCGCTGGCCGAAGCTTTGGGGTTTTTGAAAACGTGGGGTGGGCGGCGATCGGAGCTTCCGCCGCCGGTAATAATAGTAATAGTAATATTGTTCATTCTCAGACGAAACAAGATCAGGAGACCAACTTCCTTGACTTGTCTCTCAAACTCTAACCTAAGAAGATTATTATTAATTAATTATTATTATTATTTTTTCCATTATGTTAATTATTAATCTCTCCCTTTTTGTTTTATTCTTAAATTCTTAGATTTGACATCTTTGTTTGAAATATGGAAAATCCATGCATTATTTCCAACATTTATTATAGGTATATATCAATATCACAAATATATAGGACGGTATTGACAATTTTGAAATAAAGATATCTTAACTATAATGAATTATGTTTATCTTCGTCTATCATATTAGAACAATATACTTGTGTATACATTAATAAGCTAAGTTTTTGCATTATTTTTATTGTACTTAATAGATGAGTTGATCCACCAAATTTTATATCGGTATATAAATGGTTTCTTTTTTTTATATATATAAAATTTTAATTTTTATGCAAAATTTGAAGGAGAAAAAGGAAAAGAAAAATTTTAAAATATGCACGTGAGTAAATAAATAACATATAATATATAAGAGGCTAAGAGGATTTTCTATTTTATTACTATTTCTTTAAAATTTTGAGATATTTGGTTCAATTATTTCCTCTTGTATCAAATCTAATGGGTGTTATATAGGTTTCTCTTCTTTTAGAACAATTTTTTTTTTTTGTTGTAGGGCAAAGTTTCTGAATTTAAAAAGTAAAAAAAAAAGGACAAAAAAGAATCTATTTAAACAGTAAAAAATTGACATCGAAGTTTGTGTTTAAAAACAAATTTTTTTGTTTCATCAAATGTTTAAAAAAAATTTTGAATACAACATTAAATTGTACTTTTAACCAAGTCATGAAAATTGAAATTTAGTGACAGAAGGTGAAAATATATATATATTTATCACTTTTATAATTCTTTTTTTTTTTTTAACATATAGAAGAGAGATTGGTAGGGAAGAGATAAGATTGATTTTTTTTTTTTTTGACTTATGGAGATAGAACGATTAAAATTCAAACTTTTACATTAATTAGACTTTTTCAATTGGACGGTCGTATGAATCAATTAGATTAATTGATTGATAGATTTAATTATGATCATTAATTAACATAGACAAGACAAAAATGACCTACAGTAATGAAAATGTTTAAATTTTAATTAGGGTTATGGAATGGCCATATGTTATAATGAGAAGGCCAGCACGCCAAATTTTAAGATTTAATTAAAATTTTTTATTGTTATTATTATTGTTTTAAAAGTTAAGGTTAGGTCATCATCATGGAAAACCATTGATTTTGCATTCCTGTTTTAACAATTTTATTATTTAAAAAGATTTGGGCTATGGGGAAGGAAAATTTGGTAATAATTGGGAGTTAGAAGGGCATAATTGTCATATCAGGAGTGGCCATACTGTAATATAAATCCAAGGAGGATCTGCTTTGGTTTTTTTATATAATAAACTCTCACTTGGTTGATTCGATTATGCTCTTATGTGTCACGAAAAGCTATATGACACATTTGGAATTTTATTGGATAATATTTATTATTGTTGTAAAAGTAATAATCTTTTCCAATTTTTTGTTAATTAAAAAAATATTTTTTCCCTAATTTTGATTCGAGCATCAAAACCCAAGAAATTTAAAAAAAAAATTATGCTTCAAACCTTAATCCCGACTCGCTTCTTATTTGAGCATAACTATGATTAGTATAATCTCAACCAATGTAAACATAACTCAACTGCAAATAACATTTATTGTTTCCCTTAACGTTGAGAGTTCAAATTCATATACCTCACATTTGTTATACTAAAAAAAAATATAAAAATAAATAAATAATGAACATCTTCAAAATAATTTTAAATTTTCATTGCTGGAAAGAACAATGTGTCAAAGAACAATATTTTAAATGTTGATCTCGATAGAAATGTCTATGTCTCAATTTTATGAAAATATCAACAAAATGTTGATGTCGATGGATCTTCTAAACATGTTACGAAAAAAAAATCATAAAAAAACATTTAAATCGTACAACTTTACTAAATAAGTTAAGAAATTATTAATATTAATATTATGTCTATATTAGTAATATTTTGTGATATTTTTCATATTTTGTTGAACATATACATCAGAAGTATAAAAAAATCAATGTAAATACTAACAATGGACATTTATAACCCAATAGGAGTGAAATAATCACAAACCATTTATCAACATCAACATTATTATAGCTTTTTTTTTTTAAATCCGTGTGTCCGGGCCAGCTTGTACGCAACCTCGACTAATCACGGGACCCTACCACATTTGGTTGACAAGGTAACTCCTAGGATATTAAATCCTAGGTAGGTGGCCACCATGGTTTCAACATTATTATAGCTTTAAGAGTTTAAATTATCAATCATCAATATTTAACTCTCCTCTGTAAAATATAACATCCACATAATTAACATCTTGCAAAGTTTCATTATCAGCATAATTCCATCACAGAAAAGAGGTATATAGTGGGTAAATCTTAAAACTCAGAAACATTCATGCAGACAATAAGTCAACGCTAGAAAATCCTATATCATCACAAGCTCACGTATCAAAACAACAAATAAAATAAATAAATAAATAACGTGAATTTTATGTTCAAGTTTAAGAATTGAAGTTGAACTTGTGAGAGGAATCATAAAGCAAGAAAAGAAACGTTGGCATGGTTTAGTCAATTATGATGGCACATGCGGGGAACCAACAGAAGCTAAAGCTACCAATGTGAACAAAATCAAGGCCATAATTTAACTTAGTTTCGCTTAATTATCGACATTTAACTTTTGAAAAGCATGCTGAAACAGAAAATTACACCTTTAGACATATATAGACGGGAATGGGGCGAGAAGGGCCGTGTGGTACAGAAGAAAACTCGAAAATGGAGATCGGTTTTTGTCTCTAATTGTGATCTTACAACTAATTTCTAAAAAGTTTACCTTTCTAACTTGACATTATGAGACTGCAACATGAGTAGCCCCAGCAAGAGAAGTTGGCCAAAGGAAATGTTACTGGGGCGCGGTTCGGCACTTTAAGCCCGGGAAAGTTAAGCCCGAGACTATAAGTAGAGGGTTGAGGAAACCAGTCTTTGAAGTGCAGAGTTAGAAAGTGAAAGAGGAGGTGGACTTAAGATCCTAATGAAACCCCATGAATTGATCCGACTTAACAAACTCATAGCGTAAACACGACTTTAGCATCTTAAGCCAAACCCATCCTAATTCAAACCCTCACCCCAATGCCATTCCAAAAACGTACACTGTTTTCATTCACAACTAAGAGAAAGCTGTTTTCAAATTGAAAAGCATTCTTAAAGATGTCTTGATCCCGAATCCATCATCAACATAATTTGTATTTCCAAAAGATAATAATTGCTAACAAACATCAGATGCAGGCAATCACAGAACCGGTATTAATGTAAGGAAACAACAGTGCAGTCATTTCTTTCAATGATTCTATTAGGACCAATTAACAAGACTTTATATTCAATTCTAACTATGTTTTCCCCCCTTTTTTGTGTTCTCGGCAAACTGGCATAGAGTCTTTTGTAATCACCATAGGCACTAAGTTCTACCTTTCTGCACCCCTTCTTTTTATTAACACAATTTCACTGACCCCCCCCCCAAAAGAAAACGACTGTATAGATGTTAACATTAATCATGATTCACGAACTTTGGTTATTGCAAATGACGATATAGAGAAAGAGAGCATAATTTTGAATACCTTAAAAAATGGAAACAACAATGTTTGATGAAGCGTGTGTTTTATCTTTCCACAAAAGACTTGACAGTTCCCAACCACCGAATAAGTTCACATCTGTCTTTGTTCATCATAAATTCGTGCAAAAATAGAGTAAGCTCGTTATCTATCCCTCGTTCTGCTAAAAACTCACGAAATTTCGTCTGAATCTCACCACTCAGTTTCCTGAAGTCAGAAAAAAAAAAAAAAAAAAGATCATTAGTAGATAAAAGGAGTTAGAGCACAACAAGCTTAAAACTTAATTCCCTTAACTAAATTATGCATTGCGATAATAGCCAACCAATATTGGAGAAATTATTTGAGGGGCTAGAACAATCCTATACCATTTGATGTATAAAATAGAATTGAAAAACCATACTTTGAACCAATATCCAACTATTGTTAAGGGCAGACAAATTTTCAACCCCCATCAAACTGTTATTCAAATTTTTTCAGATATTGGGCATCCAAATCTACACCAAAATGGGCAATAATTTGTAATGAATCACCAAAAGTGGCCGAAGCAATAAAAAAGTTAAACAGAAATGATGAGAAACAGAGCATCTGAGATTAGCGATACCTAAAATCAGGACCCATAAATGGTCTTGCCAGCATTCTATCTCGCCGAAGTACATATACTTTCTGAACCTCCAAAAAATCAGGCCATGCCGAGCACATAAACTCCAAATCGTCGGAACCATCACCCTTCGAAATGTCGACAAGCACGCTAATATGGAGACGGAGGTCCTCCTCGCCATCGCTGTCGTCTCCAGGTCTAGGAACAGTTTCACAGCCATCGAACATCGTCGCTTCGATTTTAATTTCTTCTGTGTCCATAAATTTCCCTCTCAATGTGATCCACTGTTCGCCGGGTCGGTCTTCAACCGAAAATGAATTGAACTTCGTTACAGGCTATAGAATTCCGCAACAGAATTAAAGCAAGCATTCTAAATGATTAATCAAATCTCAAATTAGGGGGAACAAAATACAAATATAGGACGAAGTAAGAACCTCTGAACCTGATGGGGAGGAGCGTAATTGGACTGATACTCGATCTCGTTACGAAGTACTCGGAGAGCGATGGCGTCGAAGGGAGACTTGGGATTAGCGGCGGAAACAAATGGCCTGGTGAAGAGCGACGTCGAGATGATGGTGCTTCGTGAAGGAGAACAATGGCGGCGCCATAATCGAGGATTGAAGATTCTACTGTAAGAAGAACGAATCTCCCGGTGAGCTGATCGGAAAACGCCCGACATGAATAGAGATTCCGGCGGTAAAAGTTCACAGTTCGTGAGTTTCGGTCGGAATTGCAAAGAAGCGAAGGAAGAGGGTTTAGTCCCTGAGCCCCGCTGTACGACGTCGTTTCATGGATCGCCAGGGTTTGGACTTTGGAATTTGGATGCAGTCTCTTCAATTCACAGCCCGTGGGCCTCCGGTCTTTTGAGTTTGGGCTGGCCGAAATTAGTAATATGCAGCCCAATAAGCTCATTAAAACCCGTTTCATAACCATTTCGTTTTTTAGTTTTCCCCTTTTTAAAATTCAAGTTTTCTTACCCACAAATTCTTTTTGTATATTTTCACATTTCTTGAAAAACATATTTAGTTGAATTTCAAAAACATAAACAAGTTTTTGAAAACTTTGTTTTCTAGTTTCAGATTTTGGCTTGAATTTTTAAAATATTTCGAAAATGTAAATAAATAAAATATTGAAACTCTAAAAGTTGTATTTACAAACTTAATTTTAAAAAACATAGGCCTAAATTATTCTCTGATTATTTGAATAAATATTTAACTTTTGTCATACTATATTCAATCACAATTTTCAAAAAAATAAATGTAGGTATGATGATGATGAAGAAATGGGTGAGTGAGACAAATAAGGGGTGAAATTGGAAAAGGAGAATGTTGTTTGTTGTGAAAATTTTTGAAAGTGTGAGAAGATGAATAGGGCATATGCTACCCAACAACCAAGCATGGAGACCAATTGTGGAAATGGGAACTTGGCTCTAACAGCATCCATGCCATGTGATATGTCGTGTTCGCGTATAACTTCACAATCCCGACATGCATGCACATAGCGTACCACAAAAGATTGGATATCGATAAAAGAGATCGAATTTATAATTTCAACATAAATGTTGATAAGAATATTGATAATACAATTATGAATAACAAATATAGCCTAAATTTTTATTATTGCATTTATTTAGTCTATAAACTTTGAAAAGTCCAAATTATGGCTCTCGAATTTGAACAGTGAGTCGTCTGTGTAATCTTTATCATTGACATCATTAGTTAAATGATGACATAACATGGAAGTAGATTAGAATTTGTGACAGTTTACGTGGTATCCGAAAATTAGCGTTTTTTTCCACCAAAAACGCGCTCCCACAGTTTGTGACAATTTTTTATTCTCCCAAAACTTTTTTACTGTTCATAACTATCATAGAAGCCAGATACGTTGAACGTTTTCATCAAAACTAGGGATAAAGTGTACTTGTTGGCCTGGGCTCGTTGTAATTTGTTCAACTAAATATCACATCACACGTCGAGTTATTTCTTCAAAATTTTATCAAGTACCATATCATATATTTATTCTACTCCTAGTGTTAACAACATGGACAAAGAGTAATTAAAACTTTTTGTGGTTCCATAAATAAGTAAACAAAGTGTTAATTCTTAGGGAGGAGAAAAAAAGAAAGAAAACGTATAAACAATTGGGATTTCGTTCGATTAAAATACTAATCTAATAACCAACTTATTTATACTTGCGTAATCTCAAATCATAATTCAAATATGAAATTGAATTCAAATAATATAATCTAAATTTTATCTAATTCAAATGATACAATCTAACATCTTCTCTCAAACTCACAATACTAAATTGTGAATTTGCTAAATAAACGTAAATGTCGATGTCGATAGATATCAATACCAATACCAATGTCAATACCAAAATCAAACCAAAGTGAATACCCAAACCAATTCCAACTTCCGATATTAATGTCAATTTAAATTCCAAAAATATCAATTCCAATTCTAACAACAACCAATGCAAATTCCAACACAAATTCCTAGCCAACAAGGACACCACTTATTTAACTATCATAATGTCATGTTGATTTAAACAACTCCTCCACAAACAAATCAATCGAAAGTGATGATTCGCCGATACAAAGAAAAGAAAATAGAGAGAATTCATTAAATTCTTCAATTAAGATGCCAACATAATAATCAATTCATACCAATATAATCTCAAATCATAATTCAAATAATATAATCTAACACAAAATTCGTAAGTCGAACTTGTAATTTAATTAATACAAAACAAAGGATTTGATGTAGGACAAACATTGCTGATAAGGGCTCCCATGTGGCGATGGTTTCAAAACCCGTCTTCATCTCAAAGACATCCAAATTACTTCATCCATCCGTTACGGCAAGGACCATTCAGCCATCCAAAACAGTAGAGGATCAAAAAAAAATTATTGCAAAAAAACAAAAACAAAAAATGAAAACACGATCCAAGATTCAAGATTGGTTGTGAAAGAAAATGGTTGGGTTGGATTTGTTTACGAGAAGAAAACAAAGAAACATAAAATAAGTGGTGATGTGAAGAAATTGAAATGATAAGAGAGAGTGAAAATGGGGCAAATTGGAGGGGCATCAAACGCCCACGCACCGCAACAAAAGGTCATTTGCTAACTCATTCTCGGGCATTTTGCCCCCTTTTTTTGCACAATTTAGGGCCAAACAATAAATAAATAAATAAAGATGAAAAGTTTTTTTTTTTTTTTTCTTTTCTTGAAACTTACGTGAGAAGACACTTTCCTTTCCGTTTGATGCGTTTCTCCGTTGGGACGTTTCTCTCTCTCTTACTTTTTTTTTCTTTTTAATATTATATTTTAACTTTTGTTTATTCTAATTATTATAAAATATTGGTTTTATAAATCGACTCTTATTACATTTTGAGAAATTCAGTGATGGGGTGTCATTTTGAATTTATGATCAAAATATATTAGATAATTTTTTTTAAGGAATGAACTAAAGTGATTACTCTTTAAAAATATAGAGACAAAATGAAATTTTTTTTAGAGTACTGGACTAAAACAAAATTAAGATAAACAAAAATCAAAAGTATAGACACTAAAATATGGTATTTAAAGGTCTAGTGGATGTTGCGGGTTCGAGCCCCGTCGGTGAGAAAGTCTAAACTAGAGCCGACGACTCGTGAAAGAGATAAACCGCTAGGAGCATGCGAAGGAAAAGTCCCTCTCTTTTATCTTTTTTATTGAACCATAAACTTTTGGTGTGTATATATTTACATATATATGAAATAAAATGAATACACTATCTACCATGTAAAAGTAGTTGGTTTGATGGTTATATTAATATGTATAAATTTTTAAACTTAATTCAATCGCACGCGAAACCTTAACCTTAACAATAAATATATTTTATGTTCGATTCTGTTCAAGTTGATTTGGTTCAGATAATTATAATAGATGATAGATTTATCTATAGATGAAATATTTAGCTTGTCATTTATTATATTGTATGAGTTTCAAAGGCTGAATTATAATTAGTTTACAAAGATTTGAAGATTTATAACTTCTCAAAAAAAAAAAAAGATTTGAAGATTTATATACTAAAAATATTTGAAGAGCAAAAACTAACAGAATTGAGAAGAATTGAAACGTTATATATACACACACGAATATAATTTTATTAGTAGTAAAAAAGGTATTATTTTAATTAATATCGGGTTCATCTTCATACTGATTCTGTAAGCTCTATGTTGTTCAAAAAAAATTATATATATTTTTTCGACTAATTATATAATTTTTTTAATGAGTCAAACTTTAACTAACTTGTCAACGAAACTTAACTCATAATTTATTTATTTTTAACTCATTCAAACTGTAACTAACTTATGAGCCAACTTTAGCTCATAAAGTTTTAACTTTTTAAACTCTCTGACTAATTTAAAAAAAAACTAATTTATAAACCAAATTCAACTGGTTTAAATTAACAAATTTTATTAGTACTGGGTCAAATTTAAACAAACTTATCATTTCAATCATTAAAACATTTAGGTCAAGTTTTGTTCAACTGGTTTAGATACCTATATCTGATATAAAGATTGCGAGTTCGAATCTCGATCCTAAATATTGTACTGAAAAAATTTACAAGTCAAGATTCGATAATTTCCAACCCACATTAGTAACACTATTGTATTTAAAATCTACCACACACCTATATATTCCACCTTAAAAACCTATCTCCACTTTATTCCCATCACCAAATTTGATTCTACTAAGAGGCACTAAAAAATTTAAAAAAAAAAACAAAAACAAAACGTAGGATTGTAGTTCCAACTTATGATATTTTGGCATATATCTTAATCAATTCAACAATATTTATCTCCTAAAAGAATTATCAAAATATAAAAATAAAGAACTAAATAAAGAAAATATAGGTACATTTAAAAAAACGGTATATTAATAGTAATTCAAGAAAGAATTTGAAATATAACAAAAAGAATAAACATGAGTGAAATAGTAATTATTGCCTTTGCGCAAAAAAAATGTAATTCTTGCAATTTCTCAACTGAATCTATTCCGTAAGTCAACTATTACAGTAAGAATTAACCAGAAAAAGAAACTAATTACTATTATCCAATCATCAACAAAAGGTTTACATTACTTACTTTTATAAAATATATATTTCTACGAAATTCTCTTCAAAAAATGTAAATTGAATTATAAGCAAAAATCTTAAATTTAAAAAAAGAAAATTATAGGCAATGGATAATGCAGAATTTTTTTGTAAAACATAACAAAAAGGGTAATTATCTTAAAATTGTAATAAATTTGTTTTCCAATTAATTGACAGGCGAAATTGAGATTTTTGGAGTCATCCTCCTTTCAGTTATTTATTAGTTGGGCCATCTATGATCTATCCATCCTCCGCATAACAATCACAAATCCCAATTAAAAAAAGATCCCAATAAAATAAATAGATGAAGAATTTTAAAAAATAATAAATTAAATTCCATTAACATGAAAGTGTTATAAAAAAAGGGGGAAATTTTTTTAGAGGAACGAGGCGGTGGATGAAGAAGGATCGGCGTGCTTGAATTCTTTCGGCCGCCGATAGAATCCAAGGTCCGTTGCTCGATAATTCTTCGTCCCAGACCGAAGCTTATTTTTCCCCCTTTTTTTCCTGTGGAAAAATTCTCTCGATTTCGCAGACGATTTCCGATTTCATTCTCTTTTGTTGGTAACGGATTGTGCTTATTTGAATCCCTTTTTTGGGTTTTTCAATCTTCGCTCTCTGTTGCGAATTGCTCTGGATCAAATCTTATGTCTGTATGTTTTTAATTTCAGAGAGATTGGTAGAAGACGAAGAAGAAGAAGAGAAGTTGCGCGTATGGGGAAAATGTTCTGTAGACTTGCTTTGGTGTCGAAGAAGAAGAAGAGTGGAGCAGTGCCGGTTTATTTGAACGTCTATGATCTGACGCCGATCAATGGCTACGCGTATTGGTTCGGTCTCGGGGTCTACCATTCGGGCGTGCAAGGTGAGAAAATTTATGGCGATTTTTGTTTGCGTTTTCTGTTCCTGCAACGTGAAGCAGAGAAATCAATGGCGACGATGAGGACTAGGGTTCATTTTAAACGTTTTTTGCATATTGACCAACGGATTTTCGAATTGTAACTTTAATTTCATACCTTATATCTCCTTATTTCTTGATTCTCCATTTGATTTTCCCCCAGATCTGTCGTTTAGTTTTTGGCTTAAATTTCTGATGCCTAAGAAACTGGACGAACATATCTGGGTTTTAGGGCCATGTTATGAATTTTTTTTATCTGTCTTGATTCGGCGGAGATATTAATGGTAGTTTGGTTTTTAATTTTCTGCATGGTTGAAAAGTTAAAGACCAGAGAGATAAATGAATGATGTTTTGAAAAATTTGCAGTTCCTTCATATTTTTCAGCATCTCTAATTGTTTAGATTATTTCTATTGACTATAATCAATTCAATATGTGTTTGACCTTTTCAGAGTTTTTGATGACTTAAGCGGTCAATGTTTTTCAGAGTCCAAAAGAAATTTCCAACGAATCCAGCTTGTTTAGTTTATTGTGCCAACTATGAATTGTTAAAATATCTTATTTGGGTGCATCTTTTTGCAGTTCATGGAGTTGAATATGCGTTTGGAGCACATGATCATGCAACTTCAGGGATATTTGAGGTAGAACCAAGACAATGTCCTGGTTTTACATTTAGGAAATCAATTTGCATAGGACGAACGAATCTCGGTCCAAAAGAGGTTCGATCGTTTATGGAGAAACTAGCCGAAGAGTACTCTGGCAACACATATCATTTGATAACAAAAAATTGCAACCACTTTTGCAACGATGTGTGCGTAAGGTTGGCAGGAAAACCAATCCCTAGCTGGGTCAACCGTCTTGCCCGACTTGGTAAGATTGATGATTTTATTCACTGCATATGATATAACCGTTTTCTTTCCATAATTGGGTTCTGTTCTATGCTTAAATTTTGATTACCCAGCATGCTGCTACTTGTGATTGTTGTGTCATTCATACAAACTTTTCCATAAGTTTAAAAACAAACTGCCCATCGTAACCACTGAGCTTCTATGTCTTGATCTTATGGAAAAATTTGGCTTGGCTTCCCCTGGTATCAAATTTTTGAAAGACAAACATGGCGAATGGGGAACGCTTCGTTTGCTCCCTTTACTACCTCCTGCACATCACTGAGATTGAAACTTACAACAATTTGTGATGTTGGTTTTGATATGTTTTGTGTTTTCAGGTCTTTTCTGCAACTGTGTTCTTCCAGCGAGTTTGAACGAAGCTAAGGTTCGGCAAGTGAGACCAGGAGGTAGGATTAGCCAAGGTGTAAAGAAGCAATTGAGAAGCAACCCGCATAGCGAAGGTGTAAAGAAGCAATTGAGAAGCAACCCGCATAGCGAAGGTGTAAAGAAGCAATTGAGAAGCAACCCAGCTAGCGAAGGTGTAAAAAAGCAATTGAGAAGCAACTCAAGTAGGCATAATAACGAATCTCCTTCCAACTCTTCACCACCAACATTGTCATCCAATCCTCCAAGTTCATCAACCATCAAAGTAAGTAGACAAAAACGATGCCTCCCGCCATCTTCATCGCTGATTCATTCTTCATCAAATGCAGCCCTGACTATAAAGCTCTAACGGTAATTGGTAAATTGGTTTCTTTATAGGCATTAAGATTTTAATTAACAACAGAAGACAGGCAGAATAGGTTACTTTTCATGTTGCCCTCTATTTGTCTTCTGCTTCTACTAATCCCACAAAGAAAGAAAGAAAGAAAAGAGCGAAGAAATTGTGATGGAGCAGTTTTGTGTTGAAATGCAGTGTATTATGTGTGCAGCTGAATGGATCATGTTACCAACTATGATTTGATTATGATGAATATTATTGAAATCGTGTACAGAGTAGGAAAATAGATTAGAATGGAAAGTTGGAAGAAGAAGAAGGATATTATCAAAGCATGTCAACTCAGAGTGGAGATGGCATTAAATAAGTGGGTATGGTGGGGGTGGGTGGTGGAGGCTTCATCTTCTTCCATTCACTTTTTTATATACTATTCATGTTTCCCTTATGGACCCATCTCTTCTCTCAAAAAATCTTTATCTTTCAATGTCGGTGGTCAAAAATATACTGAAAAGGGGGCGGCCTTTGGCTTTGGTTTTGGTTTTTTACCCCAATTAAATGGGGCAGAAGATAACAGTCCACCCCGACCATGTTTGGCTCGTAGCTTTAATAAGTCGAGATTCATTTATTTATTTATTTATTTATTTACTTATTTATTTGAGTGTAACACTCCGACTGTGGGGTTGAGCATTCTAATTTCTTATCTTTTGGTTTATGATATATGTTTTAATTAATTGGGTTATGTTCAGGTTGTCAATAATGGGAGTGACAGGGGTTTTGGACCTTGTGGTATCACCTACTATGAGTATTTAGGTTCAAATCCTGTGTTGACTAAATGTATAGGTTGACAATAAATTGGGATTTATAAAGCCAAGGGATCGAAATGTTTGAAGGTGTGTAATTCATATTTGAGTTGAGCAAAAGAAATTGTTCTACAATGCTGAAACTTGAATTTGTGTTGCTGGTATTGAGTGCATAAGATGGGGATGAGATCGAAATCACAACCGGAGTGCCTAAGGTTACGATGGTAAAGTCTTTTATGTTATATAAAAATGAGTTTAAATAGCTCATGGAATCATACGATTCAAATATAAACATAAGTTCGATGTTTTAGTCATAATTCAATTATATATGTAAGGGAAAAGTAGAGGTAGAAGATTTCTTTTTTCCCCTCAACTTCTTAATCTTTGGTTATTTAACGGTTAAATATATGTTTTAGTCCTTAATGTTTTGTAATTTTTTTCAATTTAGTCTCTATTATTGTCTAAAAATTTTCAATTTAGTCCGTTACGTTTTAACGTTTTTCAATCTAGTTCCTTATGTTTTAACAGTTTTCAATTTAGTCTCTCATCGTTGTTTGAATGTTAAAATTAGTTATTGACTGGTGAGATTAGCTAAACTTGCATGGTTGAATACAAGAATCAACCTTTAGATTTCTTCTAATTTATTGAAATTTTGGAGGAATAATTGCAAACGTCCCCGTGATATTTTTTTTTTTCTTTCTAATTTTGCACTAATTCACTGAGTATTATGCCATGTAGGTCTATCATCAATCAATTTTAATATTGATTAACGGTGAGAAATTAAATTGAAAAATGCTATAATTTAGGATTGCAATTGTGGCCATCGGAGTATAACCTAATATTAGGTAAGAATTGAAGTAGAAGAATAATGTTAGTTTCCACTCAACTTCTTAATGTTTTGATTATTCTAACCTAACTTATAGTTGCAATTTCGTGGCTTGGAATTCAAGTTAGGTAAGAGTAAGAACAATGGTTTATTATTATTATTATTATTATTAAAAAAGAATACAAGAATATTGTTATTTTTTGACTTATTTGATTATTCAAATCTAACCTAATGGCGAGTCGTATCATAATTGTGGCTGTCAAGGCATTATGTAGAATAATGCCTTTTTTTTTTGTTTTTTTTTTGGGTCAACTTTTCTATGAGAAGTTGCATTGAATGTTCTACTATTGGAATTTTGAAGTCTTTCTTTGAAGACCATAGTGGGGTCCATACGAGAAGTATTTCTAGCTCTTTTTGGTAGATACAGACAATTTTGGACTTTAAATATATTTAATTTAATTTTAAAAGTGTTTTCAATTATATTTTGATGCCTATAATATTGAGAAAATTCTTTTTTGTAAGATTGAGACTGAGAAAACATCAGTTTTCCTATTAATTTTTTACTTGTGGATGGTTGTTGTATGGTGGTTACTTTACAAATATTACTATTTATATAATGGTGAATTACGCGTGTATTCTACTTGAATGTGTTTCGGAATAGTGATGACTATATTGTTGTTTGAATGTGTTTATAAAAGCATACTGAATTATTTTGTTCTTACTTGTTCGTATGGACTCCACTATAGTCTCAAAGTGGTGGGAATTCGACAATGAATTTTAATTTTAACTTTTTTTTAGTTCAACAATGTAAGGACTGAATTTTACCGTTGGCATGGGAGGAGAATCCAGTGTTACACTTGTAAATAAGAATTTTTTTAGGTATGCAAATATGTCAAAATAGTTGCCCAAGAATCTATTGGTTTATTTAAAATAAAGTTGAAACTGATGTTCAAACCAACTTTTTTGAAAATTCAAACCGGTTGAAACTAACTCGTATGAAATGATTTATTTATTTATTATTATTATTATTTTTTTTTTTTTTTTGAAGAACAGGAGGGAGTAAAAAAGGAATATAGGTGGTACTCATATTCCTTAGTCTAGCATATGCTTTTAAAAAGTGGGGGTAAAAACTTTCAGACTTTTGACAAAATGAAATGAAAAGCAACAGAAGAAATACTTTAGACATTCACGGGAATGAATGAATGCATCACGAATTTCTTAAAGTTTAATAGATAAACTCCGAAAGTTCATAGACCAAACTTGTACTTTGATAATAAAAAAGAAACCAAACTATATGATTCACATCAAACCAAAATTAGATAAATTTATTGCAATATGTTTAAAAGTTAAAACCATCTCAAACAAATCACTAGTTTATTCCTCTTAATTTATTGCACATGAAAAATTTAATTCATAAATTTGGGAGGGAATTAAACCTCAAGACTTCTCTTTTTCCCCCCCTCTTTTTCTGGGGTTTCATCACTTTTCTGAGATCACGAGACTCCATTATCCAAAAACATCGTTAGAAACTTAGAACAGAACACCCAAAAAAAATTCCATTTTCCCATCTTCTTCTCTGTTCCCAACGGCACTTTAATGGCGTCAATCATCTCTTCCCATGTCCCCGTTCAAACAGAAAAATAAAATAAGAAATAATAATAATTCATCTGTTCTCTGGTCGGAAATCTGCAGATCACTACACCTCATTACTGTTTCAACCCAGTCTAAATCAAGATCAAGATTGAGAGTGAGAGAGAGAGTGATTTTTTATGATCATTTAACATATGGATAAAAATTTTTGGATACTGTTATGCAAAAATATGTTGAAATTTGTACCTACAATGTGAAGAAAATTGGGATTTATCAGAGAAATCTTTGTTTGGTTTTTTTCACCTTCTCCAAGCGTAAATCAGTAGAGAAAATCCCATGGGAGCCGCATTTGAATCGGTTTCCTCCGTATTTGCCCACTCCATGATTGAACTACTCGCTCCCGCCGACGATCCCGCCGACGAGATCGACGCCGACGACGACGACAAGCTACTCCTCATCCTCCTCCACTCCAATTCGTTCAACCCGAAGTTCCAATTCTGGTGCCGCGCCACAGAATCGCTCTGTTCTTCGTCCTCCTCCTCGAATCTGAACATGAACACCGCATTCGTTCTGTTCTCTTTTCCAGTTTCGAAAACCCAATTGTACACATCCCAGTAGATATGGACCGGAACTCCGGCCACTTCGATCCTCTCGTTCCCTCGGAACTTCCATTTCAGCCGCTTGATTTCCAGAATCCTCTCCCCGTCCACGCCGAACGAGAGCCTCGATTCGTCGCTGAACAGGCCGCAATCGATTTCGATTTCGCGGATTCGGCCCCCGAATCGCGCCCTAGTCGTGTAGATTTTGTGCGCGATCACGTGCTCCCGTTTGAGAACGAGCGATTGGGGGAGAAGCTCGGAGGGGTTCGTCGTCGCTCTGGTTCTCGCGTGGGCTTCTTTGATCATATCGCCGAGGAGGAGAACAATTTCGGCGTCGACGACGACGGCGATGAAGAATCCGGAATGGGGCTCCGGCGAGGAAGAGAAATTGGCGCGGCGGAGGTCCCAGAAGACGTGGACGGTGGGAGAAAGCTTCTCGGAGCCGTGATTCTTCCAGAGAATGAGGGGTCTGAGGAGGAGGCGGAAGGAAATTGAAGAAGATTCAGAAGAATGAGGCGAATCGAAGGGTTTAGGGTTTTGTTGGAAGTGGAGGAGGAGGGAGCGGGAGAGGAGGGACCGAGACCAGGAGAGGGAAAACATGGCGAAATCGGTGTGGTAAACGCAGGTGGTGAGATTGGGGAAGCCGGAAATTGGCGGCGGCGGATGATGGTGGCGTCGGCGGCGGCGGCCGGAGGATGGGCGGAAGCAGGAAGAGAAGGCGGCGGCCATTGATGGAGAGTGGGGAGAACTGAAATTGCAGAGATTTATTTGTAAATGGAAGGCAGCCGTGGAGAGGACGAGGAACACGCCTTATTACTTAGGATTTTTATTTTATTTTATTTTTTATAATCGTTGGAAATTTATTTAGACAAATATTTTTTTACTTCAAAAATTTTAAATTGGCTAGATAAATGTTACCTGATGAATTGAGCAGTGTTTTTTTAGAGTAAAAGTTAATGGAATTTTATGGGATAAATATACGTTTTAATCCCTTATGTTTTGATATTTTTTATTCGTACTCGGTATTTAAGATTTGTAATTTAGTCTAGTTTCGCATAACGTTGGTTTATATATTAAAAAATTGAACTATTAATTATAATTTAGTCTAAGTTCGAAGTTCAGCTATTAATTATTGTATTATGTAAAATTATGATTAGTCAATTTTAACGTTAACTAATAAAAATGATATAATTAAAAAAATATTAAAATGTAGTGGGTTAAATTGAAACTTGAAATAATAAGAACTAAATTAAAGAAACAATCCAATATTATATAATAAAATAGTCAATTTTATAATTGTAAAATAAAAGAAGTCGAGCAATAAAATTAAAGAGAAAATAAAAGGCATAGAGTGATAGGAATTGGAGTCTACTTTACAAACTCGATTCTATATTGGAGAAGGAAGATACTCGATTCTATATCAACTCCTTTTCTTCTTTCTTTATTTTTATATTATTTTATACATTGTGTTGGTTAAATAATAAATTTAATTAGTGTATTTTAAATATTATTTTATTTAAGATTTCAATATTATTTTTTTGATCCGATTAGATGGGTCCTTGCGTGTTTAAAAAGTATCCATCTTAATTTTGTTGTCACCAACTCTAAAATGAGATTTTAATTACTAAATTTATTATATTTTTTTAATACAACATGTAGAAATGAGAATTAGAACTCACGACTTTTTTGTCAAAATTTATTATATTTGTTGTAAAAATTTTGGACCCACTAAAAACTAGAAAGGAAGAAAATTCAAAGTCTAAGTAAAATATAAAGTCACGTGGCGGTGGCCATTAAATTTGTGTCACTAATAAATGCAAGCAATAGAATATGTAGTTGCACGTTTTGGTATCCAAAATTGACTTCGAACAAAAAAATTTCTCCATTTTTATTTTTTTTTTTATTTAACAATTTTCCCGACTAGTTCTACTTCTTGCATCGATGTTCTATAAATTAATCAAGATGTGAATTTATAGTGTCCGCTCGATAACGTTCTCATTTTCAATTTTATTAGAATATCTAATTGTGTATTTGAAAACTATATATGTTTCTGGTTTTGTACTTTTTGTAAGCATTCTTAAACTTTTATAGAAATTTTGGGAACAACGAATTTTTTGTTTCTTATTCCCGTTTCCAAATTGTTCCATAACATAATTAAAAATATACATTTTGTTAATATTTGCTTTTATTGTTTATTGTCTTTATATTTTGTTTCTTGTTTCCTCTTTTTTAATATATAGAAATATAAATTTCTTTAAAAAACCAATAAATAAATAAATAGAAACATGAATACGTTTGAAAAAAATATATAAACATATTTGGTAACAATTTATTGTTTATTGTTCTCTGGAATTTTAATTTTTTTATGTGAGAATCACTTCTTTTAAATTAAATATTCAAATTCGTATGTTATATTTTTCTTTCAATATTTATTATGCATTTTATACGTCATTAATCATAAAAAAATGTTTTGTAACAAACTAGAAAAAAAAAAGACTTGATTTTGTTGCCTTTTAAATTTATACACAATCCTAAAAAACATTTTCTTAAAAGTAGAAATGAAAAACAAAAATAATGGCAAAAGATTATGTTTCTAAAAATTAGAAAGGAGAAACAAGAAGAAAATAATAGAAACGTTGTCAAAACAAACCCAATGATGAACATAGAAAAATTTCAATTGAAACGAAAGAACCTCATATAATTAGTATGAACTTTAAATGTATGTATGATAATATTTGTTTAATTTGTGTTGATCTAACTATGTTTTAGCTGGATGACCCTCTAATTTAACAAATTCACAAGAGGTAGAAAGAAAGAGATGCTTTTATATCAATAATTTATTATAATATGATAATATATATGCTACTTTTTTCCTTAAAAAAGATTCCCACATGCATAAGATTAGAACCAATAGTTGATTATCTTATAAATTTTTTTGCTTTAATACTCCTATTAACTTAGTATTTATCAAATATATTCCAATGTAATCTTAAGGATACGATCTCGGTGGACTACTTATTCCACTGCTATTTGATTTTGAGATAGATGCCTATAAATGTTAAGACAGTATCAAAATTCAACGAACTCAAACGAACATTCGATCTAAAAAAAATTAATTGATCTTATTTTGTGAGTTTAAAAGAACTACCATCTCGAGGGATAGGTCAAGGATCCCACATCGATAGACCTTCTCTTTTTGCCAATTAATTTTGACATGAAATCTTATGAATATTAAGATGTAACAAAACATTATTATATCAATAAATGAAATGAAAATTATATTTTGTGACGAGAGAAAAGTTTCTATTTCACGTGCATAAACATTTTTGTAATATGTCACTTGAAGGTTATGAATTCGAATTCTCCACCTAATTCGTTATACT